TAGACACCACAGAGTGGAAAACTACTGCATTGGGTCCTCTAAACGGGAGATGCATGCGGGAGAGATACAAAGTGGTTTCGCATCTGGACAGGTATGTGCCTGATGGAGACCAAATGCCCAATGGTATACATAAGCCCGATCCACAGTACCAACAAGACTGAGAGTCATTTGACAGTCTTCTTCTCTATGAGAGCATTTCCAATCATAGAGAACATCTCCAAAAGAAATTCTATAACTTTAAATATAGAGTTTTTTTATTAAAGAAGACTGTAATACATATATTATTAAGATATTATTTCTAAATGTATCATTCATAATTTAATATGATTTTGAATTGTTGACAAAAAATGATTTTGTATTATACATGAATATGGAAATAAAATAATGTTTCTTATAGATATAGTTTTATCTTATCAATTATAGTTATTTTTATCAATATATTTAGAGTTTGTAGCTATAATGCATGTAAATAAATAATATATATATGGAAACTGAAAAAAAAATTAATATAAGAAAGATATAAATAATGTATAATATATATATGTAAATTATAAGTATAATAGTTTATAGATGTATGAAGTGAAAACTATTTGTGTTATATTTTAGTTTTGCTGGGATTGGTTTGTTGATTGAGATTTGTATTGTTTTGTCTTCATTTCTTATGATGCAGATGTGTCCGCTAGATCTTTCTATGAACCTATCTTTGTCACTGAATTCATCGGCAAGTACCTGAATCTGAGGGACTTTAACAGGCCACTGAGGGATTCAGATCGTGTCAAGGTATCTTATCTGATGTTTATTCAACCATTTCAGTAGTTATCTTATAGAAGATAATCCAATTGTTCATACCACTTGGAGAGGAGGGTAAGAATATCATAAGAAGATAGTGTTCTGCTCGATAATGCTATCTTTGATATAACACTTTCTTTAAGATAGCGTTTTTAATGTACAAGCTATGTGTTTTTTTTCAGATGCTAAGCTGTGTAAAACTTTTTTAAAGAAGCGTATTTTAGATAGCTTTTGTATTTCTGAAACGCTGTGCATAGTTTAGGCGGAAAATTATTTAATTTTCCATGCTAAACACTTAGAGATTTCCATCATTTTCGTCTCCTCCCTCCACTCTAAAGTTTCGTCTCACATCTTTGTTTCACTTCTCTCTTTGTGTCGGGAGAATCTCTCTCACTCAGACATATTTTCTCATCTCGTGTCGATCTCAAAAGCTTGTATCGTTCTTCCTTTGATTCAAAACCCGTGGGGTTCTAGCTACTCTCTTCGGTATTCGCTTGAAGGTTTGATTTTTTCGGGTTATCGATAATCATATGGATTTAGGGTTTCGAAATGTTAATTACTTCTGCTTTTGATGGAATTTGGGATTTCTTACAGGGAATTATCGGGAATTCTATATCTATCTCGTAATCTCAGGTATGTTAAATTTTAGGGTTTCTATTTGAGACAGGGATTTCAATGTTTCTGTTGACTAATTATGGCTTTTCAGACAAGTTTCAGAGTCATATTTTGGTGCTCGCTTCAAGCTGAGGTATTTGTAATTTCTAGGGTTTGGTTTCACAGACAGATTTTAGTCTTAAGAGATTTTGTTATGTCTGACTTAAATCGATTGTGATTTCTTTTGCAGACTATCCTTTACAAGATCTTAGCAACCAAGAGGTACTTTTCAGATAATCCTTTTATTTTCTCATATATGTCTCTAAAGTGCTAGTGTATTTCGCCTGATGTACATTGTCAAACAAGTTTAAAACCCTTTGGCCGTGGAGCTGTGGTGGTGGAGTCACATGGACAAGTCTTGGGTTTGGCTTCCAAGGTATAGTTTTATATGTTATTATTGTTAATTCCTTTACTTACAACTGAGTTTCTTATTATTGAATTGTCTAATGTTTTATAATTTATAGGACTAGCCTTGAGTTTGAACAAGGAGCAACATATTTTGTTTATGGGTCAGCAAAGAGGTTGGTTTATCCTGCAAAGATGTTTTGTCCATGTCTCGAGTGCCAAAATCTGTGCAACGAACCAATAGCCACGGTCTAGGACAATTAAAGGGATGGAGCAGAAGTACAAGAAAACAAAATGTTTGGAGCAAGCATGGGGGAGATAAGAGATTTGAAGACAAGTGATAAACAGACTTCTGTATTTGAAGCTTATGAGTTGTTTAGAGCTACTTTATTCAACGGTGTTGAAAATTTACAGCCACAGAGTGACAAAGCAGATCATCATGATGATATTGAAAATAAAGCAGAGTTAGAGTTTACGAAAAAGTTAGAAGATGCTGAAACTCCTCTCTACAACACATGTCCTAACTACACCAAAGTGTCTGCTATCATGGGGATTTACAGAATAAAAGTGAAGAGTGGAATGTCAGAGAATTATTTTGATCAGCTTCTGAAGCTAGTTCACGACATGCTACCTGAAGATAACGTGCTTCCAACATCAACAGATGTGATGAAGAACTACCTGAAGATACTTGGGTTTGGCTATGAAAAGCTTCATGCATGCAAGAATGATTGCATCCTATACTGGAAGCAGTATAAGGATTTGGTAAGCTGCCCTAGATGTAGAGCTTCTAGATGGGAAGTGGATAAGCACACAAAAGAGGAAAAGAATGGGATTCCTCCTAAGGTTCTAAGATACTTCCCGATAAAGGACAGATTCAGAAGAATGTGTAGGTCAAGAAGGATGGCTGAGGATCTGCGTTGGC